CTGGTCAGGGTGGGGAGGGTGGGGAGGGTGGGGAGGGTGGGGAGGGTGGAGGGGTGGGAAGGGAAGTATACTTGGCATTGTTGGTCACTGATCAGCACGAACAACCTGCCTGCTCCGCGATCGCCCACTAACACACCGTTTTTGTCTACCGCCGCTGCAATGCAATGCCCACTTATAGCAGAAACCGAGTGTGTAGCAGCCAGCGCGCACCTGTAGCAGTCGTTGTAGCAGTCCTGCGTGGGCCCCACGCAGCTATTGAGGCACGCCGTGATGCCGCCAGGGGGCGTGCACGCGCCGAGCCGAGCACCTACTCCCAGCACGTCCATGCACATGCTGCCCCTCCCCCTCCTCCCCCTCCTCCCCCTCCTCCCCCTCCTCCCCCCTCCTCCCCCTCCTCCCCCTCCTCCCCCTCCTCCCCCTCCTCCCCCTCCTCCCCCTCCTCCCCCTCCTCCCCCTCCTCCCCCTCCTCCCCCTCCTCCCCCTCCTCCCCCTCCTCCCCCTCCTCCCCCTCCTCCCCCTCCTCCGCCTCCTCCGCCTCCTCCGCCTTCTGCGCCTCCTCCCCTTCTTCCCGTTCCTCCGCTTCCTTTGATTCCTCTATATCTCCCCTCCGACGTCTGTCGATTGTGATACTCCTCTCTCCCTTCTCCTCTCTCCCTTCTCCTCCACCACACCTCTCCAGCAGCAGCAGTCGCAGATTCCGCAACCGCTGCTACAGCTCCTACTATCGCTGCTGTAACGACGCGTTGACTCACAACGCACCCTCGCGAGCGCAACCCGCGTCATCTCTCCGCCCGTTCCCTCTTCCCGCCTCTATCGCGACGCTCCTGGCGCAATTGCCGGCAGAAGGGGCAGCAAAAGCACATGTGGCGGCAGTATCTACGGCGGCTGTAGCTGTGACGGCTGTAGCTGGTGTAGCTGGAGCAGCTGAGGCGGTATCAGTGGTGGTGGCAGCGTTACTAGCAGCAGCGGCCATGCGTTCACGTCAACAACGGGCACGCTGGTTCCGCTGTAGCGTGAAACGCGGTGGCCACGTGGCGAGGGAGAGGGTAGGGAGAGCGAGGGAGCGGGGACGGGGGAAAAGGGGGGAGGGGGGAATGAGAGAGTTCCCCCCGCGCCTTTTTCTGCTCTCAATTATGTTTCCTGCCCGCCTCAAAAGAACCACGTGACGAAACGACGGAGGAAGCTGCACTTTTCAGGGATACGATCTTTCCCGAGGAAAGCACGCGCAGGGCGCTTATGAAATAAATGTACGATGAATCGGGGCACGCGATAAATTAATTACACGCATCGGTACGAGGCCTTCTCCTGCTCGAAACTATCGCAACGGCAAGCCCTGCCAGTTAGTGAGTCAATATCTACGTGCGTACCCAGGCCAGACCTACGGTAATAAGTGAGCGAAGCAGAAGGGGTTGGTGTCGGCGGCGCAACATGTTCTCTTCTCTCCCTCGTGCCTGATAGCGGTTTGGTTTGGTTTGGCTCGCCTTGTTCTTTTGTTTTGTTGCTTGTGGCCGCCCCAGCGTGCATGCATTTTGCTCTGCAACTGCCTGTGGTTTCGAGCGAACCGAAAATAGTCGCTTCCTTCGATATTGTCGCTCTAATCGCTGTTGTCTGTACTTGTGTGTTCCAAAAAGTGTTTAGAGATGTTTGATTAATAACCCCACCTTTGTCTCATTTAGACCTGTTACGAGTGACTATGTATGCGTTGTTCCAAATGTACAACATTGAGCAAAAACAAGTAATACACTGAAAAGGCAATTATGTTCTGACTTCCCAAGACATACCAAACCTGATTTGGCTACATGAAGGTTGCTTTTTCATCAACGTACGCATCACCTTGTATGCAGAAATTGGGGAGATGGAGCTAGAAACTGAATTAATGATGATGAAGGCATACAAAGGGGATACGGTATATCTAACATCCCATACCCTCTATAAAACAACCCCACCTATCATACAAAGTGCACATGCAAATGTACATGTAAAGGTTTACAGACCCTTTAGTCTAGGTAAGGGGCACTGCGTGTGAAATGGAAAACAACTCAGTGCGGCTCTACAAGTCCAGCCTCTGAGGCAAAGGGCCACAAGGCCAGTCAGCAAGAACAACAAAGTGTATGATGTACATACAACTCATGGCGGTACTCTCAAGAGTAGAATGCAACGGAATGATGAGTTTAGGAAACAAGGCAGTACAAATAGGCAACCCTAACTGTGTTATACTCTCTAAGGAGCAACTCACTACAGCCTATCACAAATATCAACATTTGACACACCCCCATAGGCTAAGTGAGGGGCACCAGAACAAGCAGGGTGAACAAACGGTCACAAGACCAGTCAGCAAGAAGCAAAACAAGCTCATGGTGGACCTCAAGGACACCACACAAATTCAGAGCGCAAGCAAGTGGCCACAAGGCCAGTTCAAGAGTTCACTAGGATATATATAGGAAAGCACAACAAGCAGAGCAAGCAACAAGACTACAGCAACCGAGGGCCTACCTCAACAAGCCCCAACTGCACACAGAACCTGTGGTGGTCACCAAGCGCTAGGGCCTTGGTGAAGACGTCTGCAGTGTTGGCCTCTGAGGCCACAAAGTCCAGGCGTGCCTGACCGCGTCGCTGCAGCTCTCGCAGGAGGAAGTACCTCACGTCAATATGCTTCACTCTGCTCTCCAGTCGAGGCTCTCGACAGAGGAGGATCATGGCCTTGTTGTCAGCGTACAAGGTCGGTGCAGAGCGAGGCCGCTCACCAAGGTCGGCGAGCAAGAAGGTCAACCAGCGAAGCTCCTGTGCCGCCATGGCACCAGCGTATATCTCTGCCTCTGCACTGGAAGTAGCCACAGACGACGACCGTGTAGACCTCTACGACACAGCACCAGCTCCCAGATTGAAGCAGTAACCCTGAGTCGAGCGCTGAGTCTCCACGTCGTCAGCGTAGGAAGAGTCGAAGTGACTAGTCAATGCCACTGGCTGAGTCCCTCCAAGTACAAGCCCCATGCTTGATGTAGTCGCCAGGTACTTCGCCACCCTCACAGCAGCTGTCCAGTGGACAGGACGGTGTCTCCCAGTCGCAACAAAGCGAGAAAGTATGCTGAGGGGAAAGGCGAGGTCCGGCCGAGTACAAGTCATCAGGTACATGAGGCAGCCCACCAGCTCTGCGTAGGGACCACCAGACTCAAATGGCTCGTCGGGAAAGGGGCCAGTGAGTCTGTGGTCAACAGCAAGAGGTGTGGGCTGTGTGGTGGAGAACTGGAAGTCGAACCGCCGAAGGACCTGCTGCACCATGTGTGACTGAGTCAGTGTGATGGTGCGAGCGGCTCTGTCCCTGGTGATCTGCAGGCCAAGGTAGCGCTGCAGTTCACCTAGGTCAGTGCACTTGTGTCTCTTCTGCAGTTCGGACTTCACCTGAGCCAGAGCTGCCCTGTCTGCTGTGGCAAAGACCAAGTCGTCGACGTACACTAGTATAAAGAAAGGAGTGGAACCAGTGCGAACAAACAGCGACGGGTCGGCAGAGGAAGGACAAAACCCAAGGTCACGAAGCGTGGAGCGAAGAGTGTCGTGCCACTCACGGGGCGACTGGCGGAGACCGTAGACTGGCCGTCTCAGGCTCCACTGGGTCCCAGGTGGGAAGGTGTCGGTGAAGCCAGGAGGGCGACGCAGCCAGATCTCCTCGTGTAGTCTGCTTTGGAGAAACGCAGTAGAGAAGTCAAGGGAGTGCAGCTCGTAGTCTCGCTGTGCTGCTACGTGCAGTAACACCCGAAGAGTAGTCATCTTCGGGGTCGGGGCGAAGGTCTGGAAGAAGTCAACTCCCTCACGCTGACTGAAACCCCTAGCAACGTAGCGCGCCTTGAACACAGGCGATGAACCAGGCGGCCGCTTCACCTTGAAGAGCCACATGCCATCGACTACGTTCGCCCTGGGAGGGGGAACTGCGTCGACGTAGGTGCCTGTGGATCTCCAAGACGCTAACTCCGAGGCCATAGCCGCTTTCCACTGAGAGGCCCACGCCCCTGACACTGCCTCACGGTAAATACGAGGAGTCGGTATGTCAAGGGCGTCGGGGTCTCCCTCAGGGGATAGCAGCATGGCACAGACAGAGGGAGAAGCAGCTGCCCAGTACTCCAGCTCAGACTCTCTGTCCTCTAGGACGTCACAGCCAAGGGCAAACTCACCCCCGACGGACAGAGGACGGGAGGGAGGAGCTGGCACCACACGGGTGGTGTAGTCAAGGCGACTGGCGGCAGCAAACTCAGCGACAGCGGCAGTGAGAGCCGAGACAGACGACGGAGGGAAACGAGAGGTGGTGACAAGAGTGGCGAGGACACGAGAGACAGCAGGACGAACAGCGCGGTAGTAGTCAGTGACAGGAGTAGGGGGGAAAGGGAGAGAGGACGGAGGAGGAGACGGGAGAACGGACTCAGGAGGAGGACGACGAAGAGACTAACAAAGGAGGGCAGTGCGGAGGTCGGTAACGGGAGACGAGGGACGAGCACGCGGAGGACAGGGACGGACACGAGAGTGTGGGACACCAGGTGGAGGAGACTGCGGTGGAGGAGAAGACCAGACCGCCGGACTGTCGTCAGGAGGAGGAAACGTGGGACCAAACGCTGGAGGGGACGGAGTGTGAACAGGAGGAGAGGAGGGAAGACCAAGGGCCCGAAGGCCACTCACGGGTGGGAACAACTGCCGCTCCAGAGGGAGCTGCGGTGGTCGCGGCGGCGGCGGCGGCTGCTGCTGCAGCTGCTGCGGCGGCGGCTGCTGCTGCGGTCGCTGCTGCTGCTGCTGCTGCTGCTGCTGCTGCTCCAGCAGGTCCAACTGCCGCAACTCCTGCCGCTCCCTCTCCAACAGCACCTGCTCCTCACGCTCACGCCGACGGGCCGCCTGGAGACGCGTGTCGTGGCGGTGGGGAGGCGGAGTGGACTCCGCAGAACCAGGGTCTCCAGCCCCTGACTCCTCAGAACCAGCACCTCCAGTGCCAGCGCCTCCAGCACCAGCACCCCCAAAAC